GAGGAGAGGAACTTGTGAAACTAATACTGCAATTTCAAATCCAAGTTTGCCATTTCAACCACTTTGAATAGTGCTACTGTGATTAATTAATTAATTGTCAAAATATTTGCAGAGACCCAATCCTTTTATACTCCTGCAAAGTTTCAACTCAGAACAGAAGAAGACCTATAACGGAAACTTGCAAATAGTTGAGCCTCTACAATGTGTGACAGTGTTATCATTTGTCAGGGTCTAGACTTATGATATCTTCACTGGGTGCAGTTAAATGGGAATAAAGCTACTAATGGAAGGTTATGATAGCATAGACAAAAACCCTCAGAGTTCTAGCATTTGCAGCATTTTCCCCTTGAAACTTTGAGGGATAAAAGCCTCTCTGTTCAGCCAGGAAAATTGCTTCCAATTGGGCCAGGAACTAGGTTGCACATTAAACACAAAACACTGTCACTAAACTCTGAAAGCCAATAGAGGATGGCATTTATCATTTCAAACAGATGCTGCTGTGACAAAATAATACTGTCTTTTAGCAGATATTAAGTCACTTTTCCAACGGCCAAAGCAGAACTAGACATACAATTATTTAGCCTAATTTGGCAAATCCTCAAGTGAATATTACTGTGTTCATAGAGCTATGCATGTTTGTGTGTACTACACACTGCCATCCTTGGACAAGGGCATGTGTTTTGGCAGTGTCTGTAGTAGGATAACAAATGTAGCATGGCGTGGAGGGCCACATGATGTCTCCACAAGTCATTGCACTTGAAAAGCGGGGTGAATTTTCAGAAGGAGTTGTCTAATGGCTCAAAGTATGAGAAGCCACAAATAAAACCGGGACACATGTATTTCCCCCCAACACAACAGCTCAATGAGAGAGTGGTTTTCATTTCCAAATAACAGACAAACCACAGACTGAATTGGGTAGTCTGTAACTCTAGAAATCCAGAGAGGGGCTCTGCTACTGAATTACACAATTATATTATGAAATATCAAAAGAGTCATGCTGAAACTACATCAGTTGACCCAACAGAATACTGTGTGGTTATGTGGAGTTTGTGATAAGCACCTACCCCAAAAATACCACTGGTGGTAAAACAAAATGATCCATGAGAAGAGGTCTAACGTGTCTTTTGCCTAATATTGAATATCAAATAAATAAGAGTATAAGATGATCTCTTTAAAAGTGTTATGACTGTGACCATGTGGAATTTCCCATTTATTTGGTTCAGGACCGGTTGCTTGGAGATGATGTCAGCTGACTGTATTCCAGTTGGTCGGAGGCGTTTGCTCTTAAACTAGGGAGTGAGTTTCCAAAGTTCTTTGCAAGCTTTTACAAAGTCACTGCTCACTCCCTTGGCATGCAAGGGAGGCCTGCAAATTGATTGTGATTTTAATTAGAAATGAGATGCAGAATTTGAGGGCTAAATAGCAATTAATGTGAAGTTTCCATTTCTCCACAGACTTTTCCATATTGAGACTGAAATATGATAATATATCTATGAAATCATCCATCAATACAATTATTGACCAAAATATTTCAGAATATAAAATTGATAGCCAGACATTGATTACAACGCACATGAGATGCACACTGGTTTGACTCCAAAATGCTTCCCATGACCCCAACATGTGGTCAAGGCAATTTCTCAGAACAACTCAGAAGGCAGGAAATGAGTGTAGTTCAAAGGTTACTGAAATGTCTGCAACAACTGTTACTTCAGTTACTGACTACATTTACTCAATAAACTGAGGCTGAAGAATGTAGGTTAGAGTTGATTGGAAGAGATGCACATCTAGCCCCTCTGGTTGTGGACTATTAAATTAGTCAAACCCTTTGCCTTAGACATGCAAATATGTCATTCAATTGCAATTTGCTTGCAACATGTGTCTAGAAAATGTATTGCAACAATGTCTTTTGGGGGGTAGAGAATGGCATAGAAGGGACAACGGAATTAAAGGAATCCCAGTGAAGCCTTGGAAAAGGTTTGAACTGAATAAGGGTTTGGAATGACATAAGACACCATTGGCTACAAAAGTCCCATATTTTCCAACTGATGTCATCTCAAGAATTCCACCATAAATTATCTAATATACACGTTTTTTAAGTGTCATATCATGATCAATCTAAGCATTTTAGAACACCTCCAAATAATGGTGACAATTTATATCACAGCTGACAGTTCTCACACAGGAACCCTCTGAACTAGTACCCAGAATGAATCCACATACTGTACCTAGAGCCAGAGAATCGTCGTGGAGTTCCTTGGGACCCATTCTCTTCCATGTCTAGCTGCATCGGTTTAACTAAATCCTTCGGACTACCGAAAGAAAAGCAAAACACACAATGATTCATATTTCATAACTAAAAATGCACAGGTTTACATCTAGAGCTGTCCCATCCGACCGAGTGCCAGCTCCGGATGGGCGATCCCTATTGACAATGAGGTCATAGTTTCGCAAAATAACTTTGTTGCCAGACATGCAAAGTGGGACAGACATTAAAGTACAATTTCATTACGATAATTCTGTAACTCGACATCTCTTACCATGAATGGCTCTGGCCCTCCGAGCAGCTGTCAACTTTCATCAGTCTTTATTAGGGATTTAAAAAATTACTTATACCGTACAAAATATACCGTAGACTTTTCATTCGTTCAGTGATCCATTAGGCTACTCTGCGTTCTTATGAATTCTGGAACTCCCACTTCTATCTCCAACTCTTCATCAACACAACAGTCGCTGCTCTGTTCCAATACGCCGCCAGCACAACCCAGTCTTTCCCGTTTAGCCAGCAGTCAACATTTCAAAGTTGTGACACAATGCTACCGATGCCAAGTTCTCTGTCGAATGCACAACAACTCCAAAAATCGGCGTCCAAATGTAGGCCTATGGGTACTGTAAATGCATTGCACGACGACTCAAGAGTGCAAATAACTCTTCGTGGGGCGTCGAATACCTTACTGCCCTAGTTTTCCCTCCCAGCGGTCAGTGATTTCATCTCTCCATCCCACAAGGAATAGCCTACAAATGTTTCACTTTTTTATTAATTGAAAGTAACATTGGAAATGTACACTAAGTGTACAAAACATTAGGAATACCTGCTCTTTCCAAGACAGACTGACCAGGTGAAAGCTATGATCCTTATTGATGTCATTTCAATCAGTGTAGATGAATGGGAGGAGACAGGTTAAAGAAGGACGTTTAAGCCTTGAGACGATTGTGTGTGTGCCATTCAGAGGGTGAATGGGCAAGACAAAACATTTAAGTGCCTCAAAATTAGGAAGGTGTTCTTAATTTGTTGTACCCTCAGTGTATGTGAAACTTTATTGCAGGAGCCAATTCATATGACTTTCATGAGTATTTTCAACATCTGAAGTGAACAATTCACGTTTACATTTATAATTTTGAAATAGCCTAAATGTTATAAAGGGCCTATTGAAATTGCCCAAATAGGCCTACTATAGGATAACGTGGGGAAACTAACCACCCGGGTTAACTGCCCCCCACCCCTATAATTCTCACAGAAACCACTTGATGTCATCAACAAAAAAAAACATAACTTTCTCTGGCTGCCAATACTCTTGCTCAGCACAATTTTTATCTGTCTCATCAACAAACAAACAAATTCTGCAGCAATACGCTTATCCCATGTGGTTTGCGATTAGTGGGACTATCATTTGTTTTTCAGCAGGACAATGACCCAACACACCTCCAGGCTGTGTAAGGGCTATTTGACCAAGAAGGAGAGTGATGGAGTGCTGCATCAGATAACCTGGCCTCCACAATCACCCAACTTCAAACCAATTGAGATGGTTTGGGATGAGTTGGACCGCAAAGTGAAGGAAAAGCAGCCAACAAGTGCTCAGCATATGTGGGAACTCCTTCAAGAATGTTGGAAAAGCGTTCCAGGTGACTACCTCATGAAGCTGGTTGAGGGAATGCCAAGAGTGTGTATAGCTGTCATCAAGGCAAAGGGTGGCTACTTTGAAGAATCTCAAATATAAAATATATTTTTAATTTGTTTAACACTTTTTTGGATACTACATGATTCCATATGTGTTATTTCATAGTTTTGATGTCTTCACTTTTATTCTACAATGTAGAAAATAGTAAAAATAAACAAAAACCCTGGAATGAGTAGGTGTGTCCAAACTTTTGACTGGTACTGTATATATATATATATACCATTAGGGGAGCCTAAAGATAAATAACCACTTGTTTAGAGATACAAATTGTAATCAGTTTTTAATAAAGCAGTAACATTTTAGGTGATCCAATGCAAGTCAGTGGTACCTAAATTCGAATTGTTCTAATCATGTCCAAATCATCTATAAGTAACTTCATTAAGTGACACAGTCATGTTTTTCCCATGTTACCCCATTACTTGGGAAAAACACCCCTTTTCTAAAAACCATATTTAATTAAATAACTAAAAACAGTGTAAACTGTAGCTACTTATTTCCATTTATAGTTTTTGCCTAAGCATGACCATCATCCACATACCACATTTTTACCTAACTTAGCTTTATTGTGTCAGCAATTGGACATTGTTCTTGGGGGGGGGGCTAGTTACCCCACATTACCCTACATATTCCCTCTACCCAACAGGGGAAGTTGCACTACCAATGGACAAACATGATAACTCCACATCTACATTAATCATTGAAGAGTGAGTAATGACATCAAGGCAAGAGGGCGGCAAGTTTTCTGTTTCGAATTTAGCCTTTTTATGATAATTGTACTCATGTTACAGTGACATCATGTCGTAGGTAAATACTTACAAAATTCAAGGTGGAACTTTACGGTTTCACAATTTGATATAGAAATAGATACATGCATTGCATATTGGCACTTTATTATACATACATCAAAGTCAAATAGTACATTATGACACACACGTTCATTGCAGAGGTAATAAATACATTGAGCTTACAAAGTCATATCACAAAACACCAATGTGTAAATGTTTTATCTAGAACTGAGTTGCATTCTGAAGGAGCAGCTCAGTGGGCGACGTGGAGGTTGGAGAGGAGAGTTGAGGCTGAGCAGTAGAACATCTCTGCACCATGGGAGCAGTCTTGTGGGAACATGACTGCCATGATCAAACCGGTTGTCCTGACAAAGACACCAGCTATGAGGAAGAGACAGGGGAGGCAGTGTTCACCTTGGAACCAGCGCTCTGTGAAAAGGTTGAGTTCACGAGCTGATGGAATGATGAAAACCAAAAGGTGTGGCACTTATAACACCCTGGAAGAAAAGTATTAGTTTTTTTGCAATTTGTTGCTGCAGTCTTACATGTGGCACCACAGTAGAAAAATAAGTTACAACAATTCAAAGGACATCTTACTTACATTTAACAACAGAACAATACCCAGACAGTCGTAGGCCAAGGATAGCACTGTGCACGCTGCAACTATGAGCAAGGAGACAGGCACATGGGCATGGTTGTTGAGAGACCCATAAATAAAAATGTGCATACTACCTACAAACATAAAAGAGAGAATACAGAACTGTTGTTCATAAGTGATTTGCATTCAAAATGAATGAACACTGACCCTCAATTTATGTAGTACCATATTATGTGCACAAGTAAAATCATACAGTGCATTTGGAAAGTATTCAGACCTGTTGACTTTTTCCACATTTTGTTACGTTACAGCTTTATTCTAAAATGTATTACATTGTCCCCCCCCCCCCTAATCAATCTACACACAATACCCCATAATGACAAAGCAAAAACAGGTTTATACATTTTTGCCAATGTATAAAAAAAAAAAGAATACAGAAATATCACATTTACATAAGTATTCAGACCCTTTACTCAGTACTTGAAGCACCTTTGGCAGCGACTACAGCCTCAAGTCTTCTTGGGTATGACGCTACAAGCTTGGCACACCTGTATTTGGAGAGTTTCTCCCATTCTTCTCTGCAGATCCTCTCAAGCTCTGTCAGGTTGGATGGGGAGCGTCGCTGCACAGCTATTTTCAGGTCTCTTCAGAGATGTTCGATCGGGTTCAAGTACGGGGCTCTGGCTGGGCCACTCAAGGACATTCAGAGACTTGTCCCGAAGCCATTCCTGCATTGTGTTGGCTGTATGCTTAGGGTCGTTGTCCTGATGGCAGGTGAACCTTTGCCCCCAGTCTGTGGTCCTGAGCACTCTGGAGCAGGTTTTCATCAAGGATCTCTGTACCTTGCTCTGTTCATCTTTCCCTTGATCCTGACTAGTCTCCCAGTCCCTGCAAAACATCCCCACAGCATGATGCTGCCACGACCATGCTTCACCGTAGGGATGGTGCCAGGTTTCCTCCAGACGTGACACTTGGTATTCAGGCCAAAGAGTTCAATCTTGGTTTCATCAGACCAGATAATCTTGTTTCTCATGGTCTGAGAGTCCTTTAGATACCTTTTGGCAAACTCCAAGCGGGCTGTCATGTGATTTTTACTGAGGAGTGGCTTCCGTCTGGCCACTCTACCATAAAGGTCTGATTGGTGGAATGCTGCAGAGATGGTTGTCCTTCTGGAAGGTTCTCCCATCTCCACAAAGGAACTCTGGAGCTCTGTCAGAGTGACCATTGGGTTCTTGATCACCTCCCTGACCAAGGCCCTTTTCCCCCGATTGCTCAGTTTGGCCGAGCAGCCAGCTATTGGAAGAGTCTTGGTGGTTCCAAACTTCTTCCATTTAAGAATGATGGAGGCCACTGTGTTCCTGGGGACCTTCAATGCTGCAGACATTTTTTGGGTACCTTTCCAAGTCATGTCCAATCAATTTAATTTACCACAGGTGGAATCCAATCAAGTTGTAGAAACAGCTCAAGGACGATCAATGGAAACAGGATACACCTGAGCTCAATTTCAAGTCTCAAAGCAAAGGGTCTAAATACTTATGTAAATAAGGTACGTTTTAATATTTTTAATACATTTGCAAAAAAATCTAAAAACATGTTTTCGCTTTGTCATTATGGGGTATTGTGTGTAGATTGATGAGGGAAAAAAAACAATTTAATCAATTTTAGAATAAGGCTGTAACGTAACAAAATGTGGGAAAAAATCAAGGGGTCTGAATACTTTCCGAATGCACTGTACCTCTCAAGTCACAAAACACTCCAGAGGACAAGTTGTTATTATACTGATGCCAAGACAGAAGTAAAACAAACGTAGCCAGGTCATCGTTCCTTCAGTAGTTTTCAAAGATGTCACCTGAAAATAGATAAGAGGTGGTCAGAAAAAGAACACCTGGTGCAGAGTGAATAGAGATACACCATGAGCGTATTCTATGATTCTATGTGTTGTGTTTTACCTTGTGTGTACCCAGTGAAGGTAGCATACATAGCCAGTCACAGCAAACAGAGCACTGACAATCAGAGACGAACCAACAGACGTGAGTGACACGAGACCAGTTACTAAGGCTCAGTTCCTCCAGAGAGCCATAGATCATAAAGCTGTTGTGATGGCAGATATAGGCTGCAAGACAAAAGGATATAGCAAAGTATTACAATCAATAGTCCAAGTTACATTTTTGTGTTGTTTTGTGGATTTCTGCTATTATGAAACTTGATTTGCATTATCATACAATATGAAGCTGTACACACGTAGGCTGCAGTAGAAGAGAACTCAACAAAAGACATAACTACAATAGCAGAAATTGCATTCCATCTTGCAAACACCGATGCGTTCAGTGTAGGGGGACTATGGACAAAGTAATTGGATTAACATTTTGTTAGCCATTAAAACAATTCTAGAGCAAGTAGTTTCAATAGTTGTTTAGTTGACTGAAATATAAAATTAAAATAGAATGCATTTCAGATTGATTAGTAGAATGTGATATAGCATGTGGCGGTCGGTGCCGTTTAAGATAAGGGATTATTTATTTTTTTGGAGCATGGCCTTATTTCTATTAAAGCGTTTTGTGACTGTAATTCGAATTCCATTCACCCAGCTCAATGTAATATCGATAGGTTTAGGCTACTACATGATACTCAAATTTTCCCTGTACCCCATCATGAGGTTGCTACAACCTAGCCTATTAATGAAAGTTTACAACGTAGGTGCACAGGATGAGATAATTGAGCAATCAAGGTGACAGACAGTGACACATTCAATACCGCCTTGCACACTCTTTCCTGCATCTAGCTGATCTAGGGTGTAATCATTAGTCTAACAGCTGCAAATTAGAGTTTGTATTGGACAAATTCAGGTATGTTCATCCCCGTTTCGTTCCGTTTACTTCCGTTGAAGAAACATTTCACAGAATCGGCGGAATGAATACACCCCTGATCACACGCAAACACAGTTTGATTTCATAGCAACCACATAAAACAGCATGCTCACTTTGCTCGTTGTATACAGTATATAATTCCTTTTCGCAACTATTCTCGCCTCCTCTCCCCTTCGCTTGTGGACTTCAGTGCACAACACATCAGCTGTCTGTGACAAGGCGAAAAAACCTTTCTAAGCCAAACCTTCATATCATGACCGCTAAACACAGCCTACATCATTGCCAACGTAGCTACTAGAACTAACGCATTAGTAAATCCGCTACAATCATGCAGTACAGTGTACAGTCAGAAAGCAGTTTAGCAGTTACACCTGTGGGCCCCGGTAGCAGTACATTTATAAAACCAAAAGCTTACCTTGACATGGAGGAGTTCCAGTGTTGGATAGCCATAGCCAGCTAGCTAACATGGCATCCCTCATTGTTTGAGCCAGGTGTTTGAGTAGGCTAAACTAGCTAGCTAAGTGAACGTGAAATAAATAAAAAAATACAACTAAATATAGCTCTCTCGCTTCTCCTTAATTTTTGAATAAATGAATTTGTTAAATTGTCTCTCCCTCTCTTTGAGTCAACTACTCGCCACATTTTATGAAATTCACTGAGGAGGATGGTCCTCCCCTTCCTCCTTTGAGGAGCCTCCACTGGTGTGAGTGAATAGATTTTGACAGCGTTATTATGTACATATGTGGTCCTAGGGTAGCTTTTCTGATGATAACAGTGATCAGGATCAAAACGATCAACACCATGGACAGTAAGGACACCTGGAATCACATAGACAGATGCTTTAGCTCAGAAAGGTCAGTGACTCCTTAAATCAATGTAACAATATGTGATTACGTCTTACCTTTCCCAGCTTTGATATATTCCGGAAGAGAGACAGAGGTAGCGTGAACAGAATGGTGGATAATGCGATGACAAAATATATTTCTGCAAGTACGTGACCCAACTGCAAATAGCATGTATGAAAAATATGAATGAGCAACATCCAATAAGAAATGTGGCCTTGGTGTTTGTGCTTAATTTAGCAAAACTGTGACCTCTTTTTTGACTGTCACTGCATTAGCATATCAATGCACATAGCTAAGTTGTGGCTTGATATTGTTCAGATATATTACAATGAAGTAAAATGTGCCATATTGCACCTCCAGGTAGTCCGTGAAATATTTTGGTCAATGTGTCACGACTTCCGCCGAGGCTGCCTCCCCTCCTTGTTCGGGCAGGTTTCGGCGTTCGTCATCACCGGCTTACTAGCTGCTGCCGATCCATTTATCATCACTCCACTTGTCTAATTAATCACACACACCTGGTCCTTATCCCCAATTAGTCATTGTATAAGTGTTCCCTCTGCTTCCTTGTCTGTGTGGGTGATTGTTTGTTGTGAGCCGTGTGTAGCTCGGTTGAGCTACCCTTACCTTGTTGTTGCCAGGGTAGATATTTCCCCTATGCCTGAGTTTTGTTGTCGCATGCTTGCGCAACTGTTTATCGACGGAATGAACTCTTTGGATGCATATTACTCTCCTGCGCCTGACTCCTTCTATCACACGCATCACACACCAGCTATGATGTTGTAGCTGATCATAGCTGGGGAAGAAACATACAGTGCCTTGAAAAAGTATTCATCCCCCTTTGCGTTTTTCCAATTTTGTTGCATTACAATCTGTAATTTAAATGGATTTTTATTTGGATTTCATGTAATGGACATACACAAAATAGTCCACATTGGTGAAGTGAAAAAAATCTTGTTTCAAAACATTGAATAACAGAAAAGTGGTGCATGCATATGTATTCACCCCCTTTGCTATGAAGCCCCTAAATAAGATCTGGTGCAACCAATTACCTTCAGAAGTCACATAATTAGTTAAATAAAGTCCACCTGTGTGAATCTAAGTGTCACATGATCTCAGTGAGATATATACACACATATATACATGTTCTGAAAGGCCCCAGAGTCTGCAACACCACTAAGCAAGGGGCACCACCATGCAAGCGGCACCATAAAGACCAAGGAGCTCTCCAAACAGGTCAGGGACAAAGTTGTGGAGAAGTACAGATCAGGGTTGGGTTATAAAAAAAATATCAGAAGCTTTGAACATCCCACGGAGCACCATTAAATCTGTTATTCAAAAAATTGAAAGAATATGGCACCACAACAAACCTGCCAAGAGAGGGCCGCCCACCTAAACTCACAGAAGAGGCAACAGAGAGACCAAAGATAACCCTGAAGGAGCTGCAAAGCTCCACAGCGGAGATTGGAGTATCTGTCCATAGGACCACTTTAAGCCGTACACTCCACAGAGCTGGGTTTTACCGAAGAGTGGCCAGAAAAAGCCATTGCTTAAAGAAAAAAAAGAAGCAAACACGTTTGGTGTTCGCCAAAAGGCATGTGGGAGACTCCCCAAATATATGGAAGGTGGTACTCTAGTCAGATGAGACAAAAATGGAGCTTTTGGGCATCAAGGAAAACACTACGTCTGGCGCAAACCCAACACCTCTCATCACCCCGAGAACACCATCCCCACAGTGAAGCATGGTGGTGGCAGCATCATGCTGTGGGGATGTTTTTCCCACCGGCAGGGACTGGGAAACTGGTCAGAATTGACGGAATGATGGATGGCACTAAATACAGGGAAATTCTTGAGGGAAACCTGTTTCAGTCTTCCAGAGATTAGAGACTGGGACGGAGGTTCACCTTCCAGCAGGACAATGACCCTAAGCATACTGCTAAAGCAACACTCAAGTGGTTTAAGGGGAAACATTTAAATGTCTTGGTATGGCCTAGTCAAAGCCCAGACCTCAATCCAATTGAGAATCTGTACACCAGCGGAACCCATCCAACTTGAAGGAGCTGGAGCAGTTTTTCCTTGAAGAATGGGCAAAAATCCCAGTGGCTAGATGTACCAAGCTTATAGAGACATACCCCAAGAGACATGCAGCTGTTATTGCTGCAAAAGGTGGCTCTACAAAGTATTGACTTTGGGGGGGATGAAAAGTTCTGCACGCTCAAGTTGTTTTTTCAAATGTATTGTTTGTTTCACAAGAAAAAATATGTTGCATCTTCAAAGTGTTAGGCATGTTGTGTAAATCAAATGGATACAATGCCAAGGGGGGTGAATACTTTTGCAAGCCACTGTAGTTGTGTTACAATTCAAGTCCTCCCATATTGTACCTGTATATCAGTTTGTATGAGACTGCTCAATCTCTTAAAACCTTGAGTATACAGTACCAGTCAAAAGTTTGGACACACCTACTCACTCAAAGGTTTCTTTAATTTTTATATTTTCTACATTGTAGAATAATAGTGAAGACATCCAAACTATGAAATAACACATATGGAATCATGTAGTAACCAAAAAGGGTTAAACAAATCAAATTATATTTGAGATTATTCAAATAGCCACCTTTTGCCTTGACAGCTTTGCACACTCTTGGCATTCTCTCAACCAGCTTCACCTGGAATGCTTTTCCAACAGTCTTGAAGGAGTTCCCACATATGCTAAGCACTTGATGGCTGCTTTTCCTTCACTCTGCCGTCCGACTCATCCCAAACCATCTCAATTGGGTTGAGTTTGGGTGATTGTGGAGGCCAGGTCATCTGATGCAACACTCCATCACTCTCCTTCTTGGTCAAATAGCCTTTACACAGCCTGGAGGTGTGTTGGGTCATTGTCCTATTGAAATACAGATGATAGTCCCACTAAGCCCAAACCAGATGGGATGGCGTATCGCTGCAGAATGCGGTGGTAACCATGTTGTTTAAGTGTGCCTTGAATTCTAAATAAATCACAGACAGTGTCACCAGCAAAGCACCCCCACACCATAACACCGCCACCTTGCTTTACACATGCGGAGATCATCCGTTCACCCACACCGCGTCTCACAAAGACACGGCGGTTGGAACCAAAAATCTCAAATTTGGACATTTGGCCTTTCCAAATGTCCATTGCTCGTGTTTCTTGGCCCAATCAGGTCTCTTCTTCTTATTGGTGTCCTTTAGTAGTGGTTTCTTTGCAGCAATTCGACCATGAAGGCCTGATTCACACAGTCCCCTCTGAACAGTTGATGTTCAGACTGTGTCTGTGAAGCATTTATTTGGGCTGCAATAATGAAGCTATCCTCTGCAGCAGAGGTAACTCTGGGTCTTCCATTCCTGTGGCGGTCCTCGTGAGAGCCAGTTTCATCATAGCGCTTGATGTTTTTTGCGACTGCACTTGAAGAAACTGTCAAAGTTCCTGAATTTTCCGTATTGACTGACCTTCATGTCTTAAAATAATTATGGATTGTCATTTCTTTTTGCTTATTTGAGCGGTTCTTGACATAATATGGACTTTGTCTTTTACCAAATAGGGCTATCTTCTGTATACACCCCCACCCCCACCTTGTCACTACACAACTGATTGGCTCAAACGCATTAAGAAGGAAAGAAATTCCACAAATTAACTTAAGGCACACCTGTTAATTGAAATGCATTCCAGGTGACTACCTCATGAAGCTGGTTGAGAGAATGCCAAGAGTGTGCAAAGCTATCATCAAGGCAAAGGGTGGCTATTTGAAGAATCTCAAATATATTTTGATTTGTTGAACACTTTTTTGGTTACTACATGATTCCATATGTGTTATTTCATAGTTTTGATGTCATCACTATTATTCTACAATGTAAAAAATAGTAAAAATAAAGAAAAACCCTTGAATGAGTAGGTGTGTCCAAACTTTTGACTGGTACTGTGCGTATTTCAGATTTCCTTTAAAATGAAATCTCCATTCAAGACTTACCAATGAAAGACTATAGAAACTATAGGAACTGCAAAGACAGATCCCAAAATCTGCTGAAACCAAAAGCGCTACGTACAAGTGACTGGTAGCTTTTGGTCTCTGAAAGATTCCCTCCTTTTATCAACAAGATGATAGAGTAGTCTGCAGGGAATAAACAGAACAGCACAATGTTAGCTGTTGAGTTAAATTCATTGTACCATCAAAGCAGTTAATCACAATCGTCACCATACAGAGGGAAGGCCTGCCTGGTTCAAGGAGCAAGGCAAACCTGAAAAATGTATGAAATGACAAATCATGCAATTTTGATATTTACACATCCAACATACAGTGGGGAAAAAAAGTATTTAGTCAGCCACCAATTGTGCAAGTTCTCCCACTTAAAAAGATGAGAGAGGCCTGTCATTTTCATCATAGGTACACGTCAACTATGACCGACAAAATGAGAAAAAAAATCCAGAAAATCACATTGTAGGATTTTTAATGAATTTATTTGCAAATTATGGTGGAAAATAAGTATTTGGTCAATAACAAAAGTTTCTCAATACTTTGTTATATACCCTTTGTTGGTAATGACACAGGTCAAACGTTTTCTGTAAGTCTTCACAAGGTTTTCACACACTGTTGCTGGTATTTTGGCCCATTCCTCCATGCAAATCTCCTCTAGAGCAGTGATGTTTTGGGGCTGTCGCTGGGCAACACAGACTTTCAACTCCCTCCAAAGATTTTCTATGGGGTTGAGATCTGGAGACTGGCTAGGCCACTCCAGGACCTTGAAATGTTTCTTACGAAGCCACTCCTTCGTTGCCCGGGCGGTGTGTATGGGATCATTGTCATGCTGAAAGACCCAGCCACGTTTCATCTTCAATGCCCTTGCTGATGGAAGGAGGTTTTCACTCAAAATCTCACGATACATGGCCCCATTCATTCTTTCCTTTACACGGATCAGTCGTCCTGGTCCCTTTGCAGAAAAACAGCCCCAAAGCATGATGTTTCCACCCCCATGCTTCACAGTAGGTATGGTGTTCTTTGGATGCAACTCAGCATTCTTTGTCCTCCAAACACGATGAGTTGAGTTTTTACCAAAAAGTTATATTTTGGTTTCATTTGACATTCTCCCAATCCTCTTCTGGATCATCCAAATGCACTCTAGCAAACTTCAGACGGGCCTGGACATGTACTGGCTTAAGCAGGGGGACACGTCTGGCACTGCAGGATTTGAGTCCCTGGCGGCGTAGTGTGTTACTGATGGTAGGCTTTGTTACTTTGGTCCCAGCTCTCTGCAGGTCATTCACTAGGTCCCCCCGTGTGGTTCTGGGATATTTGCTCACCGTTCATGTGATCATTTTGACCCCACGGGGTGAGATCTTGCGTGGAGCCCCAGATCGAGGGAGATTATCAGTGGTCTTGTATGTCTTCCATTTCCTAATAATTGCTCCCACAGTTGATTTCTTCAAACCAAGCTGCTTACCTATTGCAGATTCAGTCTTCCCAGCCTGGTGCAGGTCTACAATTTTGTTTCTGGTGTCCTTTGACAGCTCTTTGGTCTTGGCCATAGTGGAGTTTGGAGTGTGACTGTTTGAGGTTGTGGACAGGTGTCTTTTATACTGATAACAAGTTCAAACAAGTGCCATTCATACAGGTAACGAGTGGAGGACAGAGGAGCCTCTTAAAGAAGAAGTTACAGGTCTGTGAGAGCCAGAAATCTTGCTTGTTTGTAGGTGACCAAATACTTATTTTCCACCATAATTTGCAAATAAATTCATTAAAAATCCTACAATGTGATTTTCTGGATTTCTCAATTTGTCTGTCATAGTTGACGTGTCCCTATGATGAAAATTACAGGCCTCTCTCATCTTTTTAGGTGGGAGAACTTGCACAATTGGTGGCTGACTAAATCCTTTTTTCCCCACTGTACATGTACATATAGTTCAAATACATATATATTTGTAATATTTTGTTTAATTTAATTGACTGAAATGTTTGAGTCCTGCAACTTTGAGAGAACGTTGGAAGGGCAAAAGAAGGGTAAAGTAAAAAAATAAAGGTATCATCAGTAGTCATATGATCATGCAGAGAACAACCACCCAGGGGCTGTTCACTATGGCTGAGGTATGAGGTTTTCTATTCCCAGAAAATTCTGGGATCCTGCATATTCTGAACGATATGGAAATGGCTTATCTTATTGGGTGACATGATCGATCATCGTATAGGCAGGCCCACTTTAACATGCAACAGGTGCTCCCCTCTTAAGGGTGTCATTGCATCTATCCCCCTCCTATTCTGTTGTGCCATTGAAACACATGATGCTCAAGCAATTTAATGTGTAAACACCAATTTACCTATTATTCCATACCCATTATCGAATTGATGAAATTAAAAGAGGCTGATGTTATCGAACTTTTGACTTCTCCAACCACCTTTTGTGAAGCAAGCAACGGTTTCCCATCACCATTCTCAATCTAGAGTAGTAAAAGAACAAATTGTTAAAGTGTTTTGGTAGAATGGTGGTAATCATGAGTATCAAAAAAGGTTAGGCTATTGTTATCATAGCAAGTCATTTGGGCAAGAAGATCAGAGAAATGCACAGCTTTAGCTGACTGTTCATAGAGTTTTGGTCATGTGTTGGTATCAATTATTCCATTATGAAAGAAATCTATACATTCCCCACTGTGTGATCAAGTCAGCTGAGGAAATTTAGGTCAGAAAAAAATTATCAGAAAAAAAAATCAAATGCGGTAGAGAAACAAAGCAGAAACACTGGATCAATCTGAAACTTTGCACACACTGCCTCCATCTAGTGGCCAAAATCTAAATTGCGCCTAAACTGCAATATTATATTGTGGTCTTTCTCTTGCATTTCAAAGATGATGGAACAATTTTTGTTATATTTATTTTTTATTATCTGTTACCAGATCTGGGTTATATTCTCCTACATTAATTTCACATTTCCACAAACTTCAAAGTGTTTCCTTTCAAATTGTATCAATAATTTGCAGATCCTTGTTTCAGGTCTATTTTAGGCGGAAATTGAAAAAAAAAAGGGTCCGATCCTTAAGAGGTTAAACTCTAACGGTTTTAAAATCCCCATTGGCCTGATGGTGAAACCCCTGAGCAGTTTCCTTCCTCTCCGGCAACTGATTTAGGAAGGGCGCCTGTATCTTTGTAGTGTCTGGGTGTATTGATACACCATCCAAAGTGAAAATTAATAACTGCACCATGCTCAAAGGGATATTCAATGTCTGTTTTTTTTACCCATCAACCAGTATGTTCCCTTTGTGAGGCATTGGGAAAACCTCCCTGGTCTTTGAGGTTGAATCTGTTTGAAATTCACTGCTCAACTGAGGGACCTTACAGATAATTGTACATGTGGGGTACAGAGATGAGGTAGTTAAACACTATTATTACACACAGAGTGAGTCCATGCAACTTACTGTATGTGTAACACAACTCAGGATATGACCCAGATGCAGACAGGTCAGAGTCAGATATGTACAGGACAGCAGGCAGGCAGGCTCTGGGTCAGGGCAGGCAGAATAGGTCGGAACCAGGAGAACTAAAAAACAAGGACTTGAGCGAGTACAGGGGGAAAAACCACGCTGGTAGGCTTGACGAGACAAGACAAACTGGCAACAGACAAACAGAAAACACAGGTATAAATGCACTGGGGATAATGGGGAAAATAGGCGACACCTGGAGGGGGTTGGAGACAAGCACAAGACAGGTGAAACAGATCAGGGTGTGACAATGTGACATGTTAAGCAAATCTTTACTCCTGAACTTATATAGGCTTGCCATAACAAAGGGGTTGAATACTTACTGAAAATGTCTGAAAAACATGATTCCACTTTGACATTATGGGGTATTGTGTGTAGGCCAGTGACAAAACAATCTACATTTAATTCATTTCAAATTCAGGCTGTAACACAACAAAATGTGAAAAAAAAGTCAAGGGGTGTGAATACTTTCTGAAGGCACTGTAGATGCATGGAAAGTTATGATTTCTCCTTGAGACATCATATTGATGTTCAATGCCCAGCAACATGTTCTAACTAACTTATTTCATCTGCCTATAAACTCATAATGCTTTTCTAAGTCTTGGTGGTAGGTCAACATAGCATGTCATCACTTGACTCCAAAACACCTGTTGTGCTTTTTTTTACGGCATGACTAAAAACTGTGGATACGTGATTTATGTCCCGCTCTCATCTGATCCTCTAAGGTAAATTGCAGCATAGCTATATCATAATCTGATAGACATTCTTGTCGAGTATCAAAGTTAGCTAGATTCATCTAGCGTAATTTATCCTCATTTATTTAAAACGATATTCCTGAATGTCAGTAATTTGTCAGTAAACAGTATATCTAGCTAACTCATCTGACTTGGTGGAGCACAGTAACGTAGATCATGTTATATCACAGACAAAAGAGGAAACCAGTCAGGGCTTGAAATGATCCCTTTCAGCCACTTGTCCTTTGGAAAAGTAGGATAGATTTTTACTTGTCCAAAAGCTCAAGTCACTTGTCAAAAAATAAAAAATAAAGGGTCTGTAACACAATGTTTACATCATTGTATGATGCAAGGAACCACATTACAAAATAAAATGCATTACCATCTTTTTTACCATAGAGAATCAGACAAAAATGTAGGCTACACTGCCTATTGGCATCTATGCATATTCAAGCCTGTCTCAAAATACAACACTGCCCGTTTACAGCTTTCCTGGAGGATGGTTGGCTACCCTTGGTAGCCTATAAAATATTGCAACATTACAATTGCAACCAAATATGTCTTTATAAAATAATTCCCTCCAGGGCTCAGAATTAAGGGCATCCCGTCATCCCTGGGACAAAAAGGTAGGGGCATGGATCAGAAAATCAGTCAGTATCTGGTGTGACCACCATTTGCCTCATGCAGCGTGACACATCTCCTTCGCATAGAGTTGATCAGGCTGTTGATTGTGCAAACCCACAGTTTCATCAGCTGTCTGGGTGTGGCTGGTCTCAGACGATCCCAAAGGAGAAGAAGCTGGATGTGGAGGTCCAGGGCTGGCAACAGGGCATTGTGTTGTGTGACAAAACTGCACATTTTAGAGTGGCCTTTTATTGTCCCCAGCACAAGGTGCACCTGTGTAATGATCA